TGTAGCATGGGACCTTTCAGCTATTGGCAAACTGGATCCATATTCAATGTGTTTCATAGTTTGAAGCTGAAGAGGGCACAACACTGACGGTTTTTGGCTGAATTTTGACTTTTTAAGGAAAATGCATCAAGATGCAAAAATAATGATAGCATATGTTTACAGCACTATTAGACACTTGTTTCTACAGGAAAAAGTAATTTGAGTTTGGTGTGGCTTGCTCTTTGATTTTGTTAAGAATTTTTATTTTCATGATCAGTTGATTCCCCCACAATGTTGTTGCTTTGTGTGTGTGTGTGTGTGTGTGTGTGTGTGTGTGTGTGTGTGTGTGTGTGTGTGTGTGTGTGTGTGTGTGTGTATAAAAACAAACCACAGACTTCTCTCTGCCACACCTCCCTCCATCACTTGCATTCAAACATAGATAACACGCCTTCTTCAGAGCAGACCTCGTTGCCTAGCAACGCCCTGCAAGTGGCCCAGGGGGCGGTAACAAGGCCCTCAGCTTCCGCAGTAATTACAGTGTGTGTGTGTGTGTGTGTGTTTCAGGGCCACACCAGGTGCGCTCTCTCTCTCTCTCTCTCTCTCTCTCTCTCTCTCTCTCTCTCTCTCTCTCTCTCTCTCTCTCTCTCTCTCTCTCTCTCTCTCTCTCTCTCTCTCTCTCTCTCTCTCTCTCTCTCTCTCTCTGGTTGTAGTTTCACAGAGACAACACATAGGAAGAGATGAAACCTTGAAGTCTAACAGGCCTTTATCAGTAGAAATACTGTATACGTCATTTACATTAATGGTTTACATCAAGACTGCATTCTGGCACTGTTGCCATGCATGTGTGGATTTTCTCCTGGTGCTCCTGTTTTCTCCCACAGACCAAAATCATGTATGTTGTGTTAACTGGAGACTCCAAATTGTTGCTGGGTGTTAGTGAGTTTGAATTGTTGTTTGTCTGCATGCACCTGTGATGGACTAAAAACCTGTTCAGGGTTTCTCTCACCTGATGAATGTTGGAGTTAGACACCAGCTGCCTGAGACCCTAGTAAGAGTGAAGCATTTCAGCGAGTGAGCGAGTGAGTGTTTTCAGTAAGGAAACATAATACTTTTATGAAGTGCAGTGAAATGAAAACCTCATTTTCATAATTTTAAAATTCATAAAGTTAAGATCTTCAAGTGCTGACATTATTAGTTTTCACATGAGGTAAAAACAATGAATAGAAGTGTGACACTAGTGCTGAACATCTTTTGATCACACTATTTGAATCTTAGCATTAGTGAGACTAGTGAGTAGTGGCGGCTTGTCTATAGGCGGCGTGATGGCGCCGCCCCAGCAGTCTCACAGGAAGAAGATTTACAGACTATAAGTGCTGTATATAATCTGCATTTAAATGTAGTTTAAAAATGTTTTAAAACTGGTGCATGCACGCTAGATCCCCCTCCAATACAAAGAATAGGAGAGCCTTTGGTCGCAGAGGTTTGGGACCGAAACCAGGTGTGGTCTCAGCTCAGGAGGTTCACCCAGAACCTCAAACTCTCCACAGTTCACCATTCTTTTTTATTTATTATTTTGTCTCACTGTGTGGTCTTTTTTAGAGCAACTGGGTACACCTCATGGAGTTTTTTCATTATAAAGAACCGGAAAATGATGGAATGTGACTTAGAAGAATTGTAAACACTTTTCAGCAGGTAAAAAAAGCCCCTAAAACAGTTAGGAATCAGCTCAGGGTGATGTTGGAACATTGGATTAGGCAGAGTGTTTTGTTTTCACTATAAAATGGATTATGACCATAGACCAGCAAAGGTAAGACTGAATTTACGCTTTTGACTTCATGAAATTAGCTTTGCTGTTGCATTGCTTCATGGGTTTTGCAGGTAGAGTAATAGTACTTTATTGTTGTCGACAGGAGAGTCTGGGCTTTAATTTGAACGACTGCTTCTGTGGATGGGATCATATTGAACAGTTTCTACTGTGTTATACTTAATATGTGTATTTAGCCTTTTTATTTAGCATGATTGGGTGTTGATGTAGAAAACTGGATTCTATCATAAGAATGGTCATTTGGCATCCCCTGGTAGTGATATGTGGTTAGTGCATCTGAAAACAGAAGGCATAAATGTGCCCCACCCAAAAAGAAATTAACCATCTGACAGTGGTTATAAAAAACTTTGGTTAAAACAGTGAAATGCATTTTTACTATGTGTTCCAACAGATAAAACCACAAATTAGACTTGTCACTCAGGTCACTTCTGGTCTAAAAACCAAGGAGCCCTCTAACCTCAAATGCATGTTGCAGACAATAAAATTATAAGCTGAAACATTTTTGTTGCAAACATTTTGTCTGCATTCAAAGTAATAGTAACTAAGTAAAAAAAAGAACATAGTTTACGTTTTGTGTACTTAAGGGTGTGGTTTACTCGTTTACTCAATGCATTTGCAGTGTTCTCTAGGGTAAATCAATCATTTAAGAAAAAAACTAACTATGCTCCTTTTCTCAGATGCATAGGTTTGCTGGTGCAGAGGTGGGCTGAAAACAGCAGGAATACTCCTTATGATATAGACATCTTGCTTCTGATTGGCTACTAAAATGCATTCAGCCATGTTGCAAAGTCACTATCTTCTTCCGGCTCTTGGAAAGTTCAGACGCTTCTTTTCCTCCTCTCCTCCCTATCTTATCCCAAGGCTCTTTGTCTGTCTTTGGGTGTACAGCGCTTCTGCATTTTTTCTGGAAACTGGAAATTATTATAATGGACCTGGTCAGTTGGTCTCTCAATGTGATTGACAAAATTTTTGCAACAATGAGAACGGGAGAAGGGGCTCCCGGTTGCCCCTCTGGGACAGAGCCAGCTGGGCATATCATGGACTCCTGGAAACAGTGGAACCTGATCTGCCTCTCTCAACTGTCTGTAGAGGATTCTGAAGACGTCTGGATATTTGCGGTGTCGGTGTCAAGTTTTGTGCTGTTTGGCCTGAGCGGTTACCTGGCTTGCCGGAAAATTAATGAGCTGTCGAGGAATACTGGCTCAATCCCGGAGCTCAGGGATGGATTACACCATGCTGTGAAAGCACAAACTCATATAATTGTCGAGATGAGTCGTAAGCTTGGAACTTTGGCTGAGATTCAGACTCAGGCAAAGAAGGTTGATGCCATCAAGGATAGAGCACGGATTGGGATAGATCAATTTACGCCATTAATGGATTCAGAGGGGTTGGAGATCAACAGAACTTTAAGACAGAGAGGAAATCATCTCTGTCTGGCCCCAAAACAAGTTCTTATCTGAATCTGGTACCCTTGAGCCTGTGAGGCTGAAGAGATTACCCCCCTCAGAAGAAATGTGGAATGCTGCCATCGCCATGGTAACTCTGTCTCCCTACCCCAGCCTGGGCGGGACTGCGATCGGTGAAGGCCGTTGAATCGTTTCCAGGAGTCACTGTGCTCTCTAACCCAAATACCTCCTTCCCCTGTCCAGACGGAGGTGACGAGTGTTGCCTATCGCGGCTGCATGCACTGATGTGAGGATAGTCCCCAACCCTACCTCCCCACCTAGTGGACCCTTATGTTGTGTAATGTCTGAAGTCTGTTGCATTTCTGTCTGAGGTGTTTTTTTTTGTTTTTTTTTTTTTTGCATAGCAAAGCTGCCCTCCCTGTGGAGGGTAACTCTGAAGTGCCTTTTTTTTCCTCCACCTGACCCAATCCTCATGTAAACCCTCTGATCTCTATTAAGGTTGCGCGACTCGGGTTTCGAATGACCACAGTCACCAATTCTTGTCATGTGTCTAAGCCTATGTATGTATGTCTATCTCAGAATTGTGTGTACTGAAACTCTATTTTCCCTCTGGGATTAATAAAGTATCTTTGAATTGAATTGAATCATCAAGACACCCTTCGCTCTCTCTCTCTCTCCTCTCGGCACAAATGTTTTTAAAAAGCCTTCCTGTGGGCAGACATGAGCCAAGATGAGCGAGTCCATAATCGCAAATTCACAGTGTAATATCACAATGTGAAGATTTTCAAATCCTAGCATTTCACTGTCTATTTTCTATCAGAAGCTAACACAGGAGATAGGTGAAGACTGTTTTCATGGTGAGTCTGCAGGAAAATATCAGAGTGACAGATTATAATTAAAAATAATGAAATAAACGTTTTTTTCAGTGTTCCACACCTTTAATCAAGTAATTTGCAAAAAGAAATAATAAATTACAGAAACATTGCAAATGTTTAAACTGATAATATCCATCCATTTTCTGAACCCACTTGTCCACATAGGGTCGCGGGGGGTTGGTGCATATATCCAGCGGTCAACGGGCAATTAGGCGGGGTACACCCTGGACAGAGTGCCAGTCCATTGCAGTAAACTAATAATATTTCAGTCCAAAAAGATAAATATCAGTGCATGCTAAATGAGTTTTTTCATAGTTGTTCAAATAATATATATAAATAAGATATACTTTGCTGATGCAAAGCTTCAGGTATATGCATAATATGCTGTAAAGAAATTTGATTAACAACAACAGATTATTTGACATTTGAACCCTAAATATGTGTGCGTTTTTCTGCTCTGATGTTGAACTATAGCCTATATTATTTTTTATTAATTAGAAAAATAAACATTACATTGTTAACTTTGTGGTTAATTTTTAGTTAATGGCAGAATTGTTGGTTTCCTGTTGAACTTGATGGATGAATTATTAATTTTTGTATTAAGTGTTGTTTTTATCCATGGTTTTTATCCAGTATGTATATGAAAATCTGTTTTCCGGACAAAGGCGAACCTAATATTGTCTGTAATGTGGTTCTTTGACTAAAATGTCTCTGCTTCATTCATGTTTATGTTTCCTCTCCTTTCCTCTCGCACGCGCCTCTTCTTTCCCATTCGCCCAACCCCCATCACACAGCAGGCTCCGCCTTTCCCCTTCACTCTACGTAACAGCCGCTAGAGAATCATGGGAGTTGTAGTTCCGGCCGCCTTCGCATGTTCGAGAAGGCGAGGCTTCGTCAAAATACAACTCCCATCTGGACCCTCGCACGCCGAGCCTGCTCGTCCAATCTGAATAAGTGGGAGGAGCGCGTCCGCCCACAAAAGCCCGAATAACCCCTAAAAAATCAATTCAGCTCGAATTAAAGGGAATTCGCTACAAATACAAACAGCAGGGACGGCCGGTGTTCGATGCGCCACGGACGGCGACGAGGCGTCCCGGTGTCGTGTGTCGGGGGGAGCAGCGGCGGTGACAGGCAGCAGCAGCGAGGAGGGTGTTGTCCTGATGCTTAAATGGAAGTGGGTGGGCCTCCATGGTCACACACTGCCAACTCCTCCGAGGATATCACTCTGACAAGCACAAATTAGCTCTTTTATGGACTGCCTGCTCGGGAAAAGGGACGCAGGAACGAGCTACGAGGCGTCCGTGGGAGCGGGGACGATCACCGCACTCCCCGTTGTCTCCGTTATTTTTCAGGCAGGTCGAGTGTAAACGCGCTTGGCACCGCCCTTCCTGGCTGGTGGGTGGTTTCGTCAAACGGGCAGATCCGCTACGGCCCAGAGCTGAACGTATAGGCCGTCCTCCGCCTCTGTACCCGGCCGGCCTTCCACCGCGAACTACACCCTCTCCCTCCCGGTATATTAATGCGTTATGAGCGGTAGGTACCCTCCCCCTCTCCGTCTCCACCCCTCTCTCCGTCTGACAGATAGATAGGAGGCTGCATGCCCCTTTGGTACTGATGAGGTTATGCTGTCTCTGCTCTTTATTGATCACCTTTGTTGTGTTAAACCTCCTTTTAGTCCACATCAGATTTACCTGCTTCTGACTTGGTAGAATCATTCCAGAAATCCTGGAATGACAGAATTACTGTTCTGGAATTATACTTTCTTTCCACAGACTCAAAGAAGGAATCAGCTGGAACTGAAGGAGGGAAAGCATCTAAACGGGCTAAAAGTTCTGGATCACAGGTAAAGCCGTGAAAGTTTATTGTAGTTCATTAGTTTCTGACTTGCCTGTAGGCCAAAAATGCAAACCCCCCCCCCCCCCCCCCCCCCCTTTTTCAACCAGCCAGACACCTCTGGGGGCGTTTCTCTGGTGGATTTCACTTCCTGCTTCTGTGCCTCATGAATAAGCTTTCACACTCCAGCAGCTGTACTTTGGAATCGTGTGTTTGAATGAAGATCTTCTGTGTGAAAGTCGTTTTTAAAGACTGAGTAGAGGTTATATAAACATTATTTAGCCACAGCGGTCGTACTGACGCACACCTTTGGTTGCTGACGAACGTTAGAGGCTCTGTTGGTTTTCCTCATGCTCTCATGGTTGTTTGGGTCTTTTTTGAGTGTCAGAGGTGCAGCTTCTGAATTCGCCTGCGACCTAGTTCTTTTACAAAGAAGCAGAGAAGGCAGCATTTTTTTCCAGTGTTCTGAGAAAAGAGAAATGTGGTTCTCACACGCCCACCCACTCGCTTCCTGTAATACCGCCCACTTCCACTGACAGCTCTGTCTCTAAGCTCACCGTTTCCTTTTGCTCTACCCCTCGATAACTCTGTCTTTTTTCTCATCTATAATCGATAGCGTGACCTTTGTTTCATCTTTGTTTGTTTCGTTCTTATTGCTTCTTGTTGTCTGTGCTTCTCATCTTGGAACTCCTCTCCATCACACCTCCTCCCTCTTTCCGTTTCCTCCAGGATTCCTCTCAGCCCTCACCGCTGGCGCTGCTCGCAGCCACCTGCAGTAAGATCGGAGGGCAGGGGGGAGCAGAAGGGGCCCAGGCAGGAGCCCAGCAGATCCAGGTCCAGGCTGGTCAGATCCAACTACAAGCAGGTCAGATAGTGGTGGACGCAGCTGGGGGTCAGGCCCTGGTGCCCCAGCAACTGGAACTGGTCCCAGCTCAGTTCGCAGGTAACAGCTGGCAGGTCATCACGGCAGCTCCAGCGATGGCCAAGGAGAACACGAGTCAACCTGTTGCTGTGACAGTGGCCACCACGCTGGTCAACGACAGCTCACCTGCGGGGCGCAAGGTGAGTGGATTTCAGAAATCTGTTGATTTTGGGAAAATCTTTGTTTTTTTTCTGTTTGCTAAACTGTTTCTGTTTTGCAGGTGAAGGCAGCAGGTGGGACGAACAGCGTAGCAACCAGTCAGCCGCAGCAGCAGTTCCAGATCATTCAGGTTCAGAACCTGCCCAGTGCTGGAGGCGGAGTCCAGTATCAGGTCATCCCTCACCTGCAAACTGCAGATGGACAGCAGATCCATATCAGCCCCCAGCCGGCTTCTATCGGGTCTCTACCTGAGCAGGTTCAGCTCATCCAGACCCCAAACTCAGGCCAAACCCAGGCTATCATCCACCCGGCCAACCAGCAGGCTATCCTACCAAGCACAGCCAATCAGACGGTCCCACTCCAGATACGTCCTGCACAGTCTTTCCCACTTCAGCTGCAGACGCTGCAAGGCTCCCAGACTCCTGTTATGACCACGGTCCCCATAAACCTTGGTGGCATGACCCTGGCTTTGCCCGTGATCAATAATGTTGGAGGGGGCGGGGCTGTGCAGCTCATCCAATCAGCAGATGGCACCTTCTCTGTTGCTAATGGAAGCCAGATGGTGACAACAGCCATGTCTGGTGGAGCTCCTGCTGCAGCTGGATCCGCACCAACTCCAACCGAAGGTGACGGCGTTCCTGATGGGAGTCAGGTGGTTTCTGCTGGACCCGAGGACGCATCAGTTGAAACCAAAGTGCAGAGCAGCGAAGCTGACTCTCAAAGCCAGAACCAAGCCAACGGACTCCAGAACCAGTCAGAAACACAAGGAGCCATCCAGCAGGTGATTGTTGGCCAGGTGGGACACCAGCTGGTGCAGCAGATCCAGCTGCAGCCTCAGGCTCAGAGTCAGGGTCAGATACAGGGACAGCAGCAACCTCAACACATTCAGACCCTCCAGCTGGCTCCGGGACAAACCCTGCAGCCCATCCAGGCTTTCCAGAATCCAGCCCAGGTTCTCATTCGTGCTCCGACCCTGTCAACTTCAGGGCAGATCACCTGGCAGACGCTGCAACTTCCCGGAGGAGTGTCCCTGCAGGGTGGCCTGGGTACAGCTGTGCCACAGCAGCTGACTCTGGCCCCGGTGGCTGGTGGGACGGCAGTCGGTGGTGGAGGGCTGGTTTCCCTCGGTGGAGCCCCATTAACACTGAGCACAGCCCAGATCAACCCAGGCTCAGGTGTGCAGACAGTCAGCATCGCAGGACTGGGCACAGCTGGAGTCCAGGTGCAGGGTGTACCTCTCACCATCACTGGTCTGCAGGGTGAGAACAAAGAATCTGTCAGATTATAGCTGACAGCTGTTACTGTCACTGTCATCATCTTTTTTTTTATTCATCTCTAGGTCAACCACAGGGTCAGGATGGGGTCAAGGTTCAGTCCTCTCCTTTGACCGTGACTGTCGGCAACATGGCTTCAAGTTCAGCCATGAGTCCGGACCAGCTGGGCTCCGTTCAGAGTTCTTCAGACCAAGAGGGCCCGCCCGGCAAGAGGCTGAGACGCGTCGCCTGCTCCTGTCCAAACTGCAGGGACGGCGAGGGAAAGTAGATAAAGTTTTACCATCTGATTTTGTTATTTGAAAGGAAATAAACGTGGAAAAATGTCGTTTGATGCAACCTTTGGAAAGGAGATTGTATTTTAGACACCAGAGTGGTTTTATATTATTTTTCTGTCAGCTGTAATCTGAAGCAAAAATGTCCCCCATTTTTAACTTAATATGCCGTTCTACAGAGCAGTTTTCTGCTTCTGTCATCCAAAAGGACGTGTGTCATGTAAACTACAGAGTCCTTGTTTATTCTAAAAGAATAAGAAGTGTGAGAAGAAGCTTTTGTGTGGGGTGCCGTCCTCCAGCTTCCTCCTAACCAGCGACTGTTGTTTCAGGAACAGCGGAGACCCCACAAAGAAAAAGCAACACGTCTGCCACATGGAGGGCTGCGGGAAGGTGTACGGTAAGACCTCCCACCTGAGGGCCCACCTGCGCTGGCACACCGGCGAGAGGCCGTTCATCTGTAACTGGATCTTCTGCGGGAAGAGGTTCACCCGGAGCGACGAGCTGCAGAGACACCGGAGAACACACACGGGTAGGACAAACAACACACATGCGATCATTAAAGAGGACCGTTTGTTTCTGATGAAAACAACAAGGCTGCTCAAGATTGTTTCTAAAAAAAAAAAACAAGCTTTTTGTTTGTGTTTGGCCCCCCAGGAGAAAAGCGCTTTGAGTGTCCCGAATGCTCCAAGCGCTTCATGCGCAGCGACCACCTCTCAAAACACATCAAGACTCATCAGAACAAGAAGAGCGGCGCTGCCGTGGCGATCATCACCTCAGACGACATAGAGGGAGAGGTCCCCGAAGGTCTGTCGGACTCCCCTCAGATCGTCTCCATGGGAACCCTCACGCGGGACTCCGACCCCGCCACACCCGCCACCTCCAATCACCTGGAGGAAGGTGAAGAGGAGGAGTTTGAATAAGCCAATCAAAGGCCAGCTTCCTGTTTTTGGGAGGTTTAGCGAGAACTGCAAGGGTTAAATTTATTTTTATTCATTCACATACATTTTTTTAATTGTTCGTTCCTGAAAGACTCCAAGGAAGGCATTTATAGAGCGTCGGACCACTTCACACTACAGGCCACACACACGGAAATCAGAGGCTACACGAGGTTCAGCGTCTCGCCCAAAAGCACGTCAACGGGTGATGGGGAAGCAGGAACTGAACCACCAACCTTCCAGCTGCCAGGCGACTGCTCCACCCGCTGAGCCACAGCCGAGGAGACTGAAAACCTACAGATGAGGAGGAAACTAACAAGCATCATGAATTTAGACTGTATGAAAATATTATTTGGCATTTATAAAGTCGGTTTAGGAAATTCCACGTGCAGCGGAGAAAGGAATGTTAGATAAGCACAAGACCAGAGAGCCGGTGAATCGGAAACCCTTCGACGACGAGAAGCAGTTTTCTTAACAGAATCAAACTCTATGCACAAAGAAAGTTGTTTTTCATACCTGTCAGACAGTGCTGAGGTCAATCATGGTACAGAGGGGCTGTGGAGCAGCTGGGACAGCGTGTGTGTGTGTGTGTGTGTGTGTGACCCGCATGAATGAGTGTGTGTTTGTCATTCACACGCTGTCCCTCAGAGGAGCTACCTAATGTTTTATTTATGGTTGAGGTTCAGTCCTCAGATCAGATTCAGGTGTTGATTTGTTTGATTAGTCAACAAATAAAGCTATTCTTGATTGAAATGGGGGATAAATCCTAAAAGGAAGAGTAGAGCAGGAAAAAAGCACATATAGAAAGTTTTATGAATAATGCATTCCTATTGCGGCACAGTGGCCATTTGAAAATAAAAAAAAAGGTTTCTATCGAGAGAAAAGAAAACAATCTAGCTTTCTACAACGTGGTTTGTGTAGTGAAAGCAATACTTTAACGACAATCCTAGTGGAACCATGTTTACATCGTCAGGGGAAGTTTTCTTAGTTAATGAAACAAGCGTGTTGTTTTCCTGGGATCAGAGGGGGGGTGCTGTCTGAGCAGTACGGGTTTGGCTAGATAGCAGCACAGGCTGCTTGTGCTCTAGTGACCTTTGACCTTTAACCTGACCAGAGCACGAGCAGCCAGGGGAATAACGGTGAGGCCCTCTGCGGGTTAGCTTTGTGGATATAATATTTTCTGGTGGTGTTGCTCTGTGTTAGTTAAGTGCGTACGTTCTCTTTAAACAGAATTCTTTTGAATCCATCCCCCTTAAACCCGCTTGTGTTAACACACAGGTCCCCGCTGTGTACAGTTAATTTATTATTTATCCTTCGTTTGTAAAATTGCCTTTTTGCTGGACTTGTATTTGTGTGCGTTGGTTCTGGTGTACAGCATGTTTCAGTTCTTTGCCGTTAGACGTCGCTGCTTCTTGAAATCATTATTAAACCCAACAGTTTGATTTTTCTTTTTTCTGCGCCATAATGTGTTTTTGGGAGAAAAAATAAAGAAGACGAAAGCAAAAATTAAAAGAAAAAGTGTTGCTATTGTCTAAAACCTTGAGAGGTTGATACCAAACAAATTTAAATGTTTTTAAATCTATTTGTGTGACGACTAACTTTGTCTTTTTTTCTATTTTGTAGTGACATCTCATTTGTAAATCCTTTTCTAAAGATGTTTGCTCGTCTCCATGACATTTGATAATGGGTTTTTTGCCAGGCTAGCCTTAAAGGCTCCAGTTTATGGATATTTTTAAAACCAGTTTGTACAAATATGTTCTGTCAATTAAAAAAAAAAGACTTCAAGCCGAAAAGATGCTTCACCTGCTTAACATTTCACAATAAAGTGAGTCTTACATTTCTCCTGGTGGTCGTTTGTTGGATTAAACAAAATTACCCATTTATGTCAAAATGAGCAAAAATGGGGCAGCTGCCTCTGAGTGAGGAAAAGTTTGTGGCTTTCGTGATCATCCAAATCCGCTCTCAACATTGCCAGGACAGATAATTGCCAACTTTAGAAAAGATTTGAAAATACAAACCAGACCTCCTCCTTTCTACTTATGAAAGGCCTTTTCATCTACAAATACACTGACCCAACAAAAGAAAAGTCACCATCTAAAAAAGTCACACTAATATTTAGTTGGACCACCTATGAGCTTTGATCACAACAGATATTCGCGGTGGCATTGTTTCAATAAGCTTCTGCAAGTCACAAGATTTAGTTCCATCCATTCTCTTCTGTTTATCTGGAGTCGAGTCACGGGGGCAGCAGCCTAAGCAGAGAGGCTCAGACTTCCCTCTCCCCAGCTTCTTAAGCCAGCTCCTCTGGGAGAATCCCAAGGTGTTCCCTGACCAGCCGAGAGACAAAGTCCCTTCAACGTGTCCTGGGTCTACCATTATGTCTCCTCCCAGTTGGACCTGGCTGGAGGCATCCTAACTAGATGCCCCTGCCACCTCAACTGGCTCCTGTTGATGTGGAGGAGCAGCGGGTCTCCGAGCCTCTCCTGGATGACCAAGCTTCTCGCCCTGTCCCTAAAGGAGAGCCAAGACACTCTGCAGAGAAAACTAATTTCGGCCGCTTCAAACTGCAATCTCATTTTTTCGGTCACTACCAAAGCTCTTGACCATAAGTGAGGGTAGGAACATAGATCGACCGGTAAATCGAGAGCTTCGCCTTCCGGCTTAACTCTCTTAACCACAACAGATCAGTATAATGCCCACATCGCTACAGACACTGCACCAATTCATCAATTGATCTCACAATCCATCTTTCCCTCACTCGTGAACAAGACCCCAAGATACTTAAACTCCTCCACTTGGGGCAGGACCTCACCCCTGACCTGGAGAAGGAATTCTACCTTTTTCCGACTCAAGACCATGGTCTTGGATTTAGAGGAGCTGATTCTCATCCCACTTGCTTCACAGTCGGCTGTGAACTGCTGCTCCGGCGAAAGCTGGAGATCACATCCTGATGAAACCAAAAGGACCACATTATCTGCAAAAAAGCAGACACCTGATCCTTAGGCCACCAGAGCGGCGTCCCTCACCACCTTGGCTGTGCCTATCCTGTCCATAAAAGTTATGAAAAAACTGCCTTGGTTAAGTCCAACTCTCACTGGAAACAAGCCCAACTTACTGCCAGGCAGGGGCGGATTTAGGGCTGAAGAAGATCCGGGGCTTAACACGCACGCACGCACGCACGCACGCACGCACGCACGCACACACACACACACACACACACACACACACACACACGTGACGCGCACTAGTCAACATCATATATATTTGTCTTGTACCACATCATTTTTAATCTGAAGCTACATATTAAGCATATTCAGGGCAGAGTATTGTTCCTGTTAGTGTTTAGCGTGAGATGATAGTAAATAATATTCCCGCATTCTTTCTCCAACAACTTTACCTGATAGTAAGCTAACTTTAGGCAAACCAGCAGCACAACAAATATTTTCAAATAAGACTCACTTACATTTGCATTTCAGGCAGAGACTGTAGAAGAAGCCAGGCACTGTAGAAGAAGAAGCCGGCTGCTGAAGGGCTTCTTTAGTGGTGGAGGCTCAGGCAGGCTGTATACAAACTACTGCCAGCTGCTCCCTCTCTGGTGGAGTACCCTATATTCACAGAGCCCCCCCCCCCCCCCCCCCCCCCCCCCCTCCCCCCCGGGCCCTTGCATTAATGTATCACCAAGATCTTGCATAGATGATGGTAGAGTCTGACCACTAGACAAAGTCTTCTCCAGCACATCCCAAAGATTCTCAGTGGGGTTAAGGTCTGGACTCTGTGGTGGCCAATCCATGTGTGAAAAAGATGTCTCATGCTCCCTGAACCACTCTTTCAATATCTGAGCCTGATGAATCCAGACATTGTCATCTTGGAATATGCCAGTGCCATCAGGGAAGATGGAATAACCTGGTCATTCAAGATATTCAGGTAGTCAGCTGACCTCAGTCCTGGAGCACATCCTGTTGCTGAACCTAGACCTGATCAACTGCAGCAAGCCCAGATCATAGCCCTGCCTACCCCCACAGGCTTGTACAGTAGGTACTAGGCATGATGGGTGCATCACTTCATTTGCCTCTCTTCTTACCCTGATGCACCATCACTCTGGAACAGGGTCCATCTGGACTCATCAGACCGGTTTTGTAAGGCATTGGAAAGTTCTCAGTTGTTCCTGCATCTCTCTAGATGTTTCCTCCAAATCATGTGGGGAACTACCGACCTATCTCTCTCCTCCCTTTTCTGTCCAAAATCATTGAAAGGGTGGCTTTCAAGAAGATCACAAAATACCTCTCACAAAACTGTCTGCTTGACCCTTACCAATCTGGTTTCAAAAAGGGCCACTCCACTGAAACTGCTCTGTTAGCAGTGACGGAATCCTTAAAAGAAGCTAGAGTGACCGTCAAATTCTCAGTGCTTATCCTGCTTGACTTATCGGCTGCATTTGACACTGTCAACCATGGCTTCCTTTTGTCCACAATCTCTAGCATGGGCATCACAGAGAAAGCGCATGCCTGGTTTGAATCATTCCTCACAGGACGATCATTCAGTGTATCTTGGCTTGGGCAATTCTCTACTGTGCACCATCTTGCCACAGGAGTTCCCCAGGGCTCTGTACTAGGACCTCTTCTCTTTGCCATATAGACCACCTCACTGGGTGAGATGGCTTCTCCTACCACTGCTATGCAGACGACGCCCAGCTCTATCTGTCATTTCTACCAGACGATCACACTGTCTCTGCACGAATATCAAACTGTCTCTCTGACATATCAAAATGGATGAAATCCCACCATCTCCAACTCAAACTCTCTAAAACTGAACTACTTGTAATCCCAGCAAAACCATCCATACAGCACAATATCTCAATTCAAAATTACTTCCTATCTCTGGCTCCTTCAAAGGCAGTTCGAAATCTGTGGGTTGTGATTGATGAACACCTGACCTTTAAAGATCATGTTTCATCTGTTGCTCGTTCATGCTGCTTGCGCTGTATAACATACGAAAGATCAGACCATACCTAACACAACATGCCACCTAGCTCCTGGTGCAATCTACTGTCATCTCCCGCCTCGATTACTGCAATGCCCTTCTAACTGGTCTTCCAGGCTGTACTGTGAGACCTCTTCAAATGGTCCAGAACGCAGCGGCGCGTCTGGTCTTCAATCAGCCAAAAAGAGCACACGTCACCCCTCTGTTCATTGAGCTCCACTAACTACCACTAGCAGCACACATCAAATTCAAATTGCTAACACTAGCATACAAAGTCCGAGATGGTACGGCTCCCATCTACCTGAATCCTCTTGCAAAGGCTTACGTCTCGGCCCGGCCGCTCCGGTCATCACAAGATCGTCGGCTAGCAGTGCCTACACCACGCTCAGGACAATCCAGGCTCTTCTCATGCATCATTCCACAAATGTGGAATGACCTTCCAAGCACTACCAGAACAGGGGTTTCCTTTTCAATTTTCAAGAAACTCCTGAAGACTCTGCTCTTCAGAGAGCATCTTCTAATCTAGCACCCTCCCTGCACACGTCCCCCCTCTCTACTGTCCACTCCTTGCTCCCTCCTCTCCATGATTGATGTCAATGTTGTTGTTGTTGTTGTTAGCCTCAAGGGCAACATGCTGATTATATCTTGTAAGTCGCTTTGGACAAAAGCATCTGATAAATACATAAACATAAACATGTTTTCTCTGTTTGATGCATGCAATGATCTGACCCTTCTCAGCACACAGCACCAGTTGGTGTTAAATAAGTTGTTAATTGCCAGCTGAATGATAATCACCCATGCAGTAATTGTCCACTAGGAGGCTCATACTTATTTGCTTAGTTAAATACAGGTGGTGACTTTTTGGAGGGGCTGGCCAATGTAGATCTGCAACCTTCAGTGTGAACTTTAACAACTATCAGGGAGTGGCTTAGGGTAGCACATGCTACCCTTCAATTCTGATTGGCCACCCCATGTGCAGTCACACTGATTTCCATTAAGAACAGGAAAGCTGCAGGTCCTGATGGGCTCCAGACTACTCAAAGTCTGTGCTGACCAGCTTTGTGAAGTGGTCACGCACATGTTTGTTGGTTGGAATATGACAACTGTAATTTGCATATAAATCAAACATGGGGGTGGAGGACGCCCTCATTTACCTGCAGCTCCAGGCTCTGACTCACCTCGAGATGCCACAAAGCACTGTGAGAATCATGTTCTTTAACTTCTCAAGTGCCTTCAACACCATCCAGCTGTGTCTACTGCAGCAGAAGATGAGGAGTGCAGTAGTGGACAATCATCTGACTGCACGGTCCACCAACTACCTCACAGACAGGCCACAGTACGTGAGGTTGCACAACTGTAAATCTCAGGTGGTTGTGTGCAGTACTGGAGCTCCACAGGGTGTAGTGCTCTCACCCTTTCTCTTCACCTTCTACACCTCATACTTCACCTAAAACACCATCAGCTATCACCTCTAGAAGTTCTCTGGTGACTCGGCCATCATCAGCTATGTGTCTGAGGGGAATGACCAGGAGCACAGGTCAGTCATCATGGACTTGAACACCAGTAAGATAAAGGAAATGGTGATTGACTTCCAGAGAAACACTCCTCCTCACTCACCTTTAAACATCCAGGGAGCAGATATTGAGGTGGATACATGTAAGTACCTGGGTGTTCACCTCAACAGTAAACTGAACTGGTCCAACAACACAGATGCTCTGTATAAGAAGGACCAAAGCCGCCTCCACCTCCTGAGGAGGCTGAGGTCCTTCAGAGTTAATTCCCAGCTGCTACAATCTTTTTATCACTGTTATGGTCTGGTGGGATGCAGGCAGCTCTGACTGAGACAGAAAAAGACTGAACAAGCTCGGTTCTGGGCTGCCCACTAGATTCAGTTGAGGAGATGTGTGAAAGGAGGATGATGGTGAAAATGATTTCCATCTTGGAAAACCCCTCTCACACACTGCTTACCACTGTGGAGGCCATGGCCAGCTCCTTAAGACGCAGAATGACAAGTCCCAGATGTAAAACAGAATGCTACCGTAGGTCATTCATCCCCTCTGCAGTAAGAGTGTATAACTCCTCAGTTTAACTGGTACTGGCATTATCCTGTTATACAACATCAGTGCAGTATTCAGTATGTGTTCAGTACTTGTGCAATACTGGATTTGCATAGTATGTGCGTGTCCCTTACAGTATGCTGCAAAGTATGAACTCAAGTTTCATTTCTGTTTTTTTTTTTTTTTTTTTTGTAGTGGTCGAAGGTTACAATAAGAGCCGGTTTAACGCAAAAGCAAAGTAGGCATGTGCCTAGGGCCTGATTGGCTGGATGGGGCCCAGACAGAGTGACAAAATAAAAAATTAACTAAAAATAAAATGTACAAATGTCCTATGATAGGACTCCTATCTACAATTTATTTCAAGATTTATTAATTAACTAAAAATAGTGACAATGTTTATCTTAACCATAGACTGTTATATTAGCTACGTCACATTAACGGCAGCCCATGACTGTAGCCTACAACTTGGGCGCCACCCAATTAAGGACGTCAGAGAAGCAGTCAGAGTCAGAGGGGGACACAACAAAGCTAGCAAGTTTTTTGAGTAGGCTAACTTTCACAATGCTTTCGGGTGCGGCAAAACGTAAAAAGAAAAAAAGTGAAGAGGAACAAAAGAAGAGACAGCGGGGGGCTTTACAGAAGTTTCTGTCGGGCTGCTCGGGCAGCCGTCCGACAGCTGTGAACCTGCTCGAGTCAGCAGACCCAGAGGCCGGGCAACAAATGCAGCCTGCCTAGAGTAGTCCATTTATTTAATCTGGCTCTGGTTACAATAATATCTTACTGGCCTGTGTGTACGCTCACCTAAGGGATTATAAGGAACACCTGTTCAACTTCTCTTAATGCAATTATCTAATCAACCAATCACATGGTAGTTGCTTCAATGCATGTAGGGTTGTGGTCCTGGTCAAGATCATCTTCTGAACTCCAAACTGAAGCAATTTTGAGCATGGCATGGTTGTTGGTGCCAGACGGGCCAGTCTGAGTATTTCACAATCTGCTCAGTTACTGGGATTTTCATGCACAAGCATTTCTTGGGTTTACAAAGAATGGTGTGAAAAGGGAAAACATCCAGCATGCGGTAGTCCTGTCGACAAAAATGCATTGTTGATGCTAGAGGTCAGAGAATGGGCCGACTGATTCAAGCTGACAGAAGAGCGACTTTGACTGAAATAACCACTTGTTGCAACCGAGAAATGCAGCAAAGCATTTGTGAAGGCACAACACGCACAACCTTGAGGCAGATGGGCTACAACAGCTCACCAGGTACCACTCATCTCCACTACAAATAGGACAAATAGGCTACAATTTGCACCAGCTCACCAAAATTGGACAGTTGAAGACTGGAAAAATGTTGCCTGGTCTGATGAGTCTCGATTTCTGTTGAGACATTCAAATGGTAGAGTCAGAATTTGGCGTAAACAGAATGAGAACATGGAACATCATGCCTTGTTACCAATGTGCAGGCTGGTGGTGGTGGTGTAATGGTGTGGGGGATGTTTCCTTGGGACACTTTAGCCCTCTTAGTGCCAATTGGGCATGGTTTAAATGCCACGGGCTACCTGAGCAATGTTTCTGACCATGTCCATCCCTTCATGACCACCATGTACCCATCCTCTGATGCTACTTCCAGCAGGATAATGCACCATGTCATGAAGCTCCAATCATTTCAAACTGGTTTATTTTACATGACAATGAGTTCACTGTACTAGAATGGCCCCCACAGTCACCAGATCTCAACCCGATAGAGCATCTTTGGGATGTGGTGGAACAGAAGCTTCGTGCCCTGGATGTGCATCCCACAAATCTCCATCAACTGCAAGATGCTATCCTATCAATATGGGCCAACACTTCTAAAGAATGCTTTCAGCACCTTGTTAAATGTCACGTAGAATTAAGGCAGTTCTGTGGGAGAAAGGGGGTCAAACACCATATTAGTATGGTGTTCCTGATAATCCTTTAGGTGAGTGTATTTACATGTACCTTTGTTATTTTTATTCAAATTATTCGCTTAAGTGTTGGTGCTGCTGTCACAAGTGAAGTGGAATAAATTAAGTTTATTCTATTAAATTTGACTTTAAATTGTCCACAAAAGGCTTGGGGTTACATACTCCATAACAGTAGATGGCAGTATGTACCTTTCAAGCCCCAGTCCAACAGAACATCTGTGTGTTATTTTTTATTCTTTAGTATTTTTTCAGATTGACAAAAATTGTATCCAAAATCCTGGTTCCAGTAGGTGATGGTAATGCACCAAGAAATGACTTGCCAACTACCACAAAACATCTGAAAGATTGTCATAGCACAAGGTAGAGCTCACAAATTCACTTCTGTGCATATATATATATATATATATATATATATATATATATATATATATATATATACATACATATATATATATATACATAAACATACATATGTATGTCTATATAATTATATAGATGTATGTATATATGTATATATATACTTATATATATGTATGTATGTATATATATATATATACCTGTCAAAACTGCCCAAAGGTAAGTGTGACAAGCTTGTGGCATCATATTCAAAATGACTTGAGGCTGTAATTGCTGCCAAAGGTACATCAACAAAGTACTGAGTAAAGGCTGTGAATACTTATGTACATGTGATTTCTCAAGTTTTTTAATAAATTTGTAACAACTTCAAAGACACTTTTTCCACATTATCATTATGGGGTGTTGAATTTTATGGGCAAAATGAATTTAACCCATTTTGGAATGAGGCTGTAACATAAACAAAAACGTGGAATAAGTGAAGGGCTATAAATACTTTCCGGATGCACTGTATGTATGTGTAAATATATATATCCATCTTACCCTCCGCAGGTGGTCTCAACCTTCCAAGCTCGGGTCCTGGGAGCTTGAGGGTTCTACAGTATCCTCGCTCTGCACTTTTCTGGACTGAGGTGTCTAATAATTTTCCAGGGACCTGCTTTATCCACTCCTCCAGTCAGGGAGTTACTGCCCCAATGACCATGGGCACCACCAATGTCTTCACTCTCCAGGCTTTCTCAAGTTCTTCTTTGAGGCCTTGGTACTTCTCTAGTTTCTCATGTTGCTTTTTCCAGATATTGCCATCACTTGGTATATCAACCACAACGGCTGTCCTGTTTGTCCACCAACACAACATCTGGCATAACCATGTGTATACAAGTGCCCCACCTGGGCCACCTCATTTTAAGACCAGAAAACACCACTGACAATTAGAGAAAGTATACATGTGACAGTTGACCTGAGCAAACACACAGGACCTTTGATTCATGCAAACACATAGGTTAAATTAGCTAACTGTATAATCCATATTTCAATACAAATATACAGTAGATGTAATATTCAAGGGACTTGCTGTTCATTCAGTTTGCAGTGGTTCTTCGTTGCTTGAAGCTAAATTAACAAGAAGATAATTTAAACTTCTAATCACTTTATAAATGCTCGTTTTGGTCCAGTTTTATGCATGGTTAAAAAATAACTGGTAAAATGACGCTAATGATGACGCTATACAAACCTTATTTTCTGAAATTTACAAAAACAAATTAAATGCAAACAGAAAACAGAAGTAACCTGCCGTTTTGCACACCGAATAGCACAAATAATGTAATCCTTTAACAGATTTGTTCATTCTAAAGCTGCTAAGAGAAATTAAAGACTGCAATTATTTTTATTTGATTGTATTTAAATGTTCAGTACACTGATAAAAGTTTCCTTTAAAAAATAGATTGAAAAGGTCCCAGTTGTAGTTAAAACAAGAAAATCAGACAATTGTTAAGAGCGGATATTGAGATGAAAAGATTTATTTCAAAAGTACAACTGAACAGTGGTTTAAAACAACAGCCATCCCTGCATTTGATGCAACCTGAGACCAGGACATATAATAACAAATATAAACAAACTGTATATGTGCCTTGCTTTAAAGTGATGATGGAAGTTGTGTCAGACGTCCAGTCAAAATGTTAAAAAGTGTGCGTTAAAATGTTTTCTACAGTACGGGGTAGCCCAAGAACCCCAGAAGGTGTTGGTAGTTGGGTAGTCTGGACTTCACTGTAGCTCCTTCTGGATACTGAGGATGAGAAACACAGTTTAGCTGCAACATCACTCTTCCAATAACATAACAATACACAGCTTGTCCAAATAAAAAGTCTCCACCTGGATTAAACTAGGCAAACAGGTATGAGCCTCCTATTGGATAATTACTTCATGGGTGATTATCTTCCAGCTGCAACAGGTTATTTAACCCGACTGGTGAAATGAGCTGCTTCTCATTTCATAAACAACCATGTAGAAAAACATCTGGTGATAGTGGAAAAGATGTTAGTCTGTGTGAAAAGGGTCAGATCATTGGCATGCATCAAGCAGAGAAAACGTTTTAAAGAGATCGCAAAAAGACTTAAATTGGGTTCAAATCACTCCTAAACATTATTGAAAACTTTAGGGATAGCGTGGACCCATGGTCTTCAAGGAAAACATGTGGCGGGATGAATTCCAGAATGATCATGATTGTCGATCACAAACTTTGGTGAAATCAAATCAAAGGAAAACCACAGTAGAACTCATCCATCCATTTATCCAGGTTCAGGTCACGGGAGAGCAGCCTAAGCAGAGGCCAAGACTTCCCCATACCCAGCCACTTAAGCCAGCTCCTCCAGGAGGGTCCCTGGCCAGCTAAGAAACATAGTCCTGCCAGCGTGTCCTACGTCTTCCTTATGCTCTCCTCCCAGTTGAATGTGCCCAAAAAACCTCACCAGGGAGGTGTCAAAGACGCATTCTGACCAGGTGCACAAGCCACCTAAACCAGCTCCTCTAAAACAGTAGAACTCAGGGCTATGTTTAATAGTGAAAGTAGGAGCAATGTGAAAGGAACTTAAGGAATTGGGACTGAACAGCTGTGTGGCTGTAAGAAAACCCCTGATCAGTGAGGAAAACCAGAAAAAAGGCTTCAATTTGCCAGGGAGCAAAAAGACTGGACTCTGGAGTAATGGAAGAAGGTCGTGTGGTCTGATGAGTCCAGGTGGACCCTGTTCCAGAGTGATGGAGCATCAGGGTAAGAAGAGAGGCCTACTGTATAAGCCTGTGGGGGCAGTGTTATGATCTGGGCTTGCTGCAGTTGGTCAGGTCGAGGTTCAGCAACAGGATGTGCTCCAAGAATGAGGTCAGCTGACTACCTGAATATCCTGAATGACCAGGTTATTCCATCTTCCCTGATGGCACGGGTGTATTCCAAGATGACAATGCCAGGATTCATCAGGCTCAGATAGTGAAGGAGTGGTTCAGGGAGCGAGACATCATTTTCACACATGGATTGGCCACCACAGAGTCCAGACCTTAACCCCACTGAGAATCTTTGGGACGTGCTGGAGAAGGCTTTGCGCAGCGGTCAGACTCTACCATCATCAATGCAAGATCTTGGTGATACATTAATGAAACACTGGATGGAAATAGCCCAACAATGTTGTAGGGCTGAGTTGACAGTATCACGTGGACATAGGGGGCAGTCCCACTGGACTGGCAGTTCCCTTATTTAAAAAGGGGGACTGCAGGGTGTGTTCCAACTACAGGGGGATCACACTCCTGAGCCTCCCTGGTAAGGTCTATTCAGGGGTTCTAGAGAGGATGGTCTGTTGGATTGTCGAAGCTCGGATTCAGAAGGAGCAATGTGGTTTTTATCCTGACCGTGGAACACTGGACCAGCTCTATACCCTTGGAGGGGGGGGGGGGGGGGGGGGTCCTGGAGGGTGCGTGGGAATTTGCCCAATCAATCTACCTACCTGGTTTGAGGATTTGGAGAAAGTGTTCGACTGCGTCCCTCGGGAGACCCTGTGGGGGGCATAGGCAAAAATCCCACGGGGACATGTCCCTCTCTGGCATAAAGTTTCCACCCCCAAAAAATTGAGCGTATAAACATATTTAAAGTGATACAGTATTGTCCAATGAAAGCACAGCACAGCCAAAAAAACATTAAACCCGCAAAACGTTTTTATTCACTATGATTCCCCCTCCACTAATCCTCATATTGGTATAGTCCACAAGCTGCTCCGCACTGGAAGGCTGTCGCTGCTCCGATGCTTCCGGAGCTGGGAGCATCAGAGCAGAATGATCCAAACAGTGAGTAAGTTAATGGGCATATTGCAGGTTAGAGACTCCCATGAGCCAATGTTTAGAGAAACATAATAGAAACTCGTTTTAAACATTTTTTTTTACACATACATGAATTATTTAGGCTTTTAGAGACATTTTTGTGAGAAAGTTTTTTTTTTTGGCCAAACCAAGTGACATCAGCTGAGGGAGTCCTGTTAGCTTAATCCAGGGAAAAGTATGGAATCTAATGCCGGCTCTGACACAGAGGAAACTTTAAATGTTTACAATTATACTCATGATGGACCAAAACCATTAAGTTATGAGTTTGCTGCACGCCCCAGAGAGCAGAGACAAACCAGAGGGAGGATTGGCCAAAGCAAAGAGATTAAGGAGGAGAAGCAGCAGGGGAGCAGCAGGTGTCTGGTGAGTTAACCATGTTAGCTTCAACTCGTGTGCTAACATCACAATATTGTACAAATTACTATCGTGTACCTCCTTGAACTGTCACCTTATCGTGGTGGAGGAGTTTGAGTGCCCTAATGACCCTAGGAGCTATGTTGTCTGGGGCACTTTGTGCCCCTGGTAGGGTCTCCCATTCATTATTTTACAAGCACAGAGAGCCGCATCAGATGGATGGAAGAGTCGCGGGTTGAGATATGTTTTCTCCAGGACCAGAGAGGACGCAAACTCGATACATCTCTTTTATTGTGAGGTAATAATTTCTCTGAGTTTTGCAGATTTCGGACCCGAAAATCAGCTGGCCCACTGAGCCGCACGTCTCTTCTGGTGGTTGGTTCTGACTTGGTTCTGACGGTGCTCTGATCTCCAGAAATACGCATTTAATTTTTTAAACCCCGCCACGGGTCTCCGGAGCCCAGCGCCGACCTCCCTGTTCCGGTACCGACCAATGTGAGCTACAGAAGTCTCGTGTCTTCAGCTGCAAAAAACGCCCTCAGGCACAGGGATAGAGGAATTTCTTCTCTTATCTGGAAGCCCGTGGACTCGATGTCCAGACAGGCATACTAAGCAAGCATTTAGCGAAAATGGAGAGGAAAACTCCCTTTTAACAGGAAGAAACCTCCAGAGTAGGGCTGCAACAAACGATTATTTGGATAATCGATTAATCGGATGGGGTCTCGACACGATTAATCGATTAATCGGATTACATGGGGAAATTTTTTAAAACTGCTAGGGAAACGTTATTTCTCTCCTTCCTTCACTTTATTTAACACAACATTATTAGAAAACAGTTCAATAGCAGAAAAACAACATGCCATCACCTAAATTGTCTTATAAGGTGTATAGACAGAGACCCTAAGCTACATCTATCTGTGACCTAAAATGCTTGGTCCAAGTTAAACAGCTTAAGGGCAATTCTCATCTGTTTTGTTTGATCTCATCTGTTAATATTTATTTTAAATGTAATTAAACATAGGCTGTGAATTAATCAAAATTGATCACTATTTCCAAAACTGACTGAAAAAATACCAAATAAAACAAAAGTAAATGAATGCCATCCTCCTTGCGATGATGCCCTGGGCAACTGCCATAAAGTCACATCAAGAAATGCTGCTGATCATTCCAATGATCCCAAATAGACTCACATTAGGCCACATGAAAGCAACTGAACCCAAAAATATATTAACCAGTATATAACTGCACTCTCACACAACACGCCTGCAGCAACAGTTAGGACTCCTCCCTCCCTTTTAAAAGCGTTTTTGCTTCCGAGGACATTGTGGTTGTAAAACCACATGCTAGTAGTCTGGCCCCGGTGTGATCAACCAGTTTCTGCGGGAATGTGACGGCGGAACCAGGGCCAGATTAACACTTTGTTGTACCCTGGGCAACAATATTCAAGGGCTCCATCATCACGACCCAAGGATCACCATAATGTGGTCACATACAGAATATTTTACTGTAATATGCAGTAAATATACTCAATACTTGAATGCCTGACAACACGTAACCCGCCCAGAGTAACCTTTGACCCACCTCGTGTGGACTGACCAATGAGGAGAGGGTCTTAACTTGAGGCCCTCTCTTCATTGGTCAGTCTGCATGAGACTGACTCTCAACTGACGTTCAGTCGTAGGCAGCGAAGCTTCTCTGTGCAGTGCAAAAGCCCGGGTGGACAGTTTGTTTAATGTAGGGTGACCATATTTCCATTTCCAAACAAGAGGACAGGGGATCTGTGCCTATGACGTCACACTATGGCAACGCCACACAAACCATGTTGGGACCCATTTTTTGTAAGAACTAAATTAATATCAGATTCTGCCAATTAAAGGGCTCTAAAACTATTCATATGTAAATATTTTGCATATTTAATGCAAAATCTAATTTTTCTGCTTTAGTGCTGCAACAAGGTTTTATTAATAATAAATTATTATACCTTTTGTTTTACTACAGCATCGGTAAGCTTCCTGTGCACAGATTATTAAGGATGCTTGTTTCAGCTGTGAGATTAGACGATAGGATCAATGATAAAATAAGTTGTCACACACTCCATGGAAACTTTCAGAGAATCCACAAATAGTGGCTTTCAAATGGTTTTGTTACTTTTTGCAAGTTTTTAAAAGAAGCAGATGAGACAGCATGTCTGATAATTTAGTTTTTCATCTGATAATATTAGAACATGTCAGTAATGTCTGAGGGGCTTTTATAAACACCATATAACTAACACTCCTGGAGAGGGCATGAATTACACAGAGGCTTCTGGGGAGCCCAGTTATGGGGGGGGGGGGGGGGTCATTTTGCCTTGGCCCCAAAATGTCTTGAAACGGCCCTGGGTGTGTGACTGAGTTTTGAAGGTGATCTGAATTGTATCAGATGTATAAATATGACATGTGTATAACTTATTGTTTTTTACTGGTAAAAACGTGTAGTGGAGATAAATCTACCTACATTTGACTTTTCAACACTTTGTTTTGTTTTCTTGTTTTTATTTAACTATTTTCCTGTCCTGTCTGTCTCTCATCTTCCTGCATCTCCTCATAATTCTCCAGAAAATCTGTTGCCTGGATTCTTATCTTTTCACCTCATCAGTTACTTTTGAGCAGATCAAAGGGATCTCCTGACCGAAAAGCGCAGAGCGCGTTTTCGATGCTGCGTGAGGTGAAATCACCACAGCACAGGTGATGAGCTCCGCAGTAGCGAGCTTCAGGCACAAATAAGACAGAAAATAGAGAACATGTGCGGACATGAACGATCGTGTGCTAATTATAGTTTTTTGGTTGCGCCACTTTGAGAATGGACCGTGCGCTGGAAGCAGCTGCCTGGATCGCTGCGCGACAATGCGGAACCGGTTCGCAGCAGCGCAAGTCTGCCGGCTCTCCCTCGCGCTGATCTGCCGGCTCTCCCTCGCGCTTATCTGCGGCTCTCCCTCGCGCTGATCTGCCGGCTCTACCTCGCGCTGATCTGACTTGCTCTGGTCTGCGCGCAACGGCGGGCGGGAAGGGGGGGCGCTTTTGGAAGAGTTGTGCGACACAACGAATCGATGACGCAATTCGTTGCCAACGCTTTTAGTAATCGATTTTCATCGAATTTATCGATTCGTTGTTGCAGCCCTACTCCAGAGGATCCTGGCTCAGTATAAGCAGCCATCCACCACGACTCACTGGGGATGGAGAAGACAGAGCAGGCACACACACACGCGCACACACACACACACACCCACGCACACGCACACACACACACACACACGTACGCACGAACGCATGCACCAACACCAACCCACCCACACCCAACATATAAACCAAGTAGTGTTTCTATGGTTACATTGTGAATTCTTAGTAAATATTTTATGAGTGTTCAAGCCGAGGGCCCCCTCCATGAGGCTACCACAGCTCAGCAGAACACCATTGTAGCTTCTTCTGGGGAGAAAAACTCTTGGAGAAAAAATAAAGTTAACAGCTGAAATAGCAGGAAATAATACAGTTAAAGAACAAATTGTAGAAGAAAGTAGTCGAGTGTGGAAAGTGGTCAGTGTATCCTCCAGCAGTCTAAGCCTATAGCAGCATAACTACAGAGATAACTCTGGATAACCTAGCCTTTTAGATGGAGGCATGTCGGAGGCAGGGCAAGAGGAGTCAAGTGACTGTAGGTGGCAGTATCTGCGGTAAGGAGCTTTTGCATCATTTCCTGTTTTCAGTGATGCACTATGTGTAGCTGTTCGGTGTTTGTGGCTCGCTAAAATTGATTGAATTTCTCTGTACTAGGACATTTCTGAGTTATTGTAGCACAAAAGCACGCTAAAACACACATTTTCTGTTGTTCCACCTAGCTTTTAGGGGACCATTCGTGTTCGCATGCAGTTTATTTGGTGTTGAACAGGTTGCTCATCCAGTTGGCTTAGCCTCAGCACGGCTATGGCTACTTCTGTACCTGCTTCTTCGTGTCCTGGTTACTAGGTTGTGACACTGATACAGCAGGTAGCATCTCGGTGTTGCTGCTGATCACAGCTGCTCACCGAGTGACAGAAAATAAATCAACAGCTTTGTGTTTTTTTTTTATTTAATATAATTTTGATGAAAACTTTTTGGATTTTTAACAGCTTTCACATCATGTTACTAGAGTCAAATTGTATTTAGACATTATATTTATAGATGGCGTTTCCTCTTTATTGTTAAAGGTTTCAGAAAGGTTGTAGTACTTTACCTTTTCGAAGTTCACTGGTTTTTTTCAACTCATCTGCATTGGTTTCTAGTATAAATGAATATCTTGTGAGTTCATCTATCTGGGGAAAAGCTCTGGTGCTCCTGTTTCAGGAACAAGAAGTTAGTTGGAGAAGAAAATGGCAGGATTTGGAGTTTTACTCTATATCATTTACTGATATGCTGACATCTCGCCTCTGATCAGTTGGTTTTTCAGTCAGCTTGCTCATCCTGCAAGTAGCAAAACAGCAGGAGACGGCCATTTTCTCTATGAAAATGACACTCTGAGATCTAACTGTTTATTGTCTCCCCCAAAAATGAAATGGGATTTTCACCCCTGGTGGGGGGTGCTCCAGGAGTAAGGGGTACCAGGTCCTCTGATACAGGCTGTTAGGTGCCTGTGTCAGAGCTTGGTCCACATTGCCGCAGTAAGTTGAGCTCATTCCCAGTGAGAGTTGGACTCCGCCAAGGCTGCCCTTTGTCACTGATTCTGTTCATAACCTTTATGGACAGGATTTCTAGGCGCAGCCAAGGTGTTGAGGGGATCCATTTTGGTGGCCTGAGGATCGGGCCTCTGCTTTTTGCAGATGATGTGGTCCTGTTGGCATCATCAGAACGTGATCTTCAGCTTCCGCTGGAGCAATTTACAGCCGAGTAAAAAGATGCTGGGATGAGAATCAGCTCCTCTAAATCTGAGACCATGGCCTTAAGTTGGGAAAGGGTAGAATGCCTTCTCCGGGTCAGGGATGAGGTCCTGCCCCAAGAGGAGGAGTTTAAGTATCTACGGGTCTTCTTCATGAGTGAGGGAAAGCTGGAGCGTGAAGTCGACACGTGCTGCGTCTGCAGTGATGCAGGCGTTTTGCCGGTCTGTAGTGGTCAAGAGAGTTGAGCAAGAATGCGAAGCTCTTGATTTACCGGTCGATCTACGTTCCTACCCTCACCTATGGTTACGAGCTTTGGGTAGTGACCGAAAGAACGAGATCACGGATACAAGCGGCCGAAATGAGTTTTCTCCGCAGGGTGGCTGGGCTCTCCCTTAAGAGATAGGGTGAGAAACTCTGTCATCCGAGAGGGGCTCGGATTCGAATCGCTACTCCTCCACATAGAGAGGAGCCAGTTGAGGTGGCTCGGGCATCTGGTCAGGATGCCTCCTGGACGCCTCCCTGGTGAGGTTTTCCGGGCACGTCCAACCAAGAGGAGACCTAAAGGTAGACCCAGGACATGGTGGAGGGACTATGTCTCTCACCTGTCCAGGGAACACTTTGAGATTCCCCGGAGAGCTGGCCTAAGTGGCTGGGGAGAGGGAAGCCTGGGCCTCTCGACTTAGGCTACTGCCCCCGCGACCCGACTCCGGATAAGCAGAAGGAAACGGATGGATGGATGGAAATAAATCTGGTGACATTTCAGAAGTTATTGAAACAACGCCACAGCAAATGTGTGTCATATTCAAAGCTAAAGGCGCTCCAATAAAATATTAGTGTGTGTGACCTTTTTTATTTTGGAGGTTTTATTTTGACCAGGTAGTGTTCAATGCAACAAAAAAAATTCAAATTCCACATTTCATGATACTGTAGTTGAGGTGTTGCAGGGCTGGACAATAATTCAATAACGATATATATATAATGACAGATGTATGGCTTCATAGAAAAAAAATTGGTCAATAAAAACTTCAATAAGAGAAAAAAACCACTGCTCATCTGTATGAAGGTGCTGGCTTAGACGAAGAACTCAATAAGGGGAAAAAATCTGCACACGTCTATTTTGAAGAGTAAATATTTATCGATCAAGCTTTCCGTCAGAGACCATCAGGAGTGATTCATGTCCATATCAATAAATAATATAATCTGTATCAATAAAATTTTCATTTCTTTTTTCCATTAAAGCCCATCAGATAGCTTAACATGAAGGGACCTGTAAACTGCACAAGAGGAGGAAAAAATACACAGCTCTACAGAAATGTGAGTAAATTAGTGAAAGGATGGTATGGAGTCATTTCCTGTGGTGTTCGCAGATATCACTGAATAATAATCTGCTGCAGCTGAACCTTGATTTGAAAAAAATAATCAAATCGTGGATTGAACTGAAATCTAAATTTCTGCTAAAAAAAAAAACTAATGAATCTTTTCCTGAAATCGTTCAGTCCTTGTAAAATGCACTTAACAAAAATTCTACTGTTTTTAAAAGAATTATCAATAATTATCGATTTAAAAAAAAATCTGTCTTTTTTCCCCGATATCATCCAGCCCTAGACGACGCCCACATTGTGAAAAGCCCGTACCTCTCCAGATACTCATGGACGCTGTCGTGGCCGTTGTAGCGTGCCAAGCCCACCAAGATCCCCGTGGCACAGCGGCCCTCCTTCTTACGGCACAGACTGCAATTACACATTCCCCGGCAGAGGGGGCAGCACCACACCTGAGGAGAAACGAATCCTTACCACAGCGAACCCAAAACACAGTTATGAACGCTCGTCATCTTTGTCAATCCACACAGAGGAAAATGCCAATAAAACTAAAAAAAAAAAAAAATAATAATAATAAAGAGAAATAAGCAGCTACAAAAAGGCAACAAAACTAAATAAGACATGAAAATAAGTAACGATCAGACAAAATAACTGATTTTCCCTCTTTTTTATGACCAGCTAATGGAGTGGGTTTTGATTGCTGAAACCTAATGATGGTGTGTGTGTGTGTGTGTGTCCGAATCGAGATTCTTTTTAATAAAGATTCTGATACTTGGTATTCCCTTCTTCAGAACACACACACACGCACGCGCGCGCACACACACACACACACACGCACGCACGCACGCGCACACACACGCACGCACGCACGCGCACACACCCACACCTATGGCGTTTAAAGCGTGCCACAACCCGTGCACGCGCATTGGGTCCACAGCGCGCGTGTGAACGGGACTCGCGAGCGGAAATATACATGGCGAGAGGTCATTTGTGCACTGAGAGGGAGCAAACTGTGTCTGTGAGCGCACAAGGATGTGCACAAGTGACAAACCTGCGTGCGCGCGTTGTCAACGAGCACACGGCAGAGGAAAACGTGCGCGCGCGGCAGCCTCTGTGCGCGCTCGGCAGCCTCTCTGCGCGCTCGGTTTCTGACTCCTGCTCGCTCGGCTGTAAGGGTTTTGGCACTCTGGAGGCGTGGCCTGTGGCAGATCTTCTCTGTCCTCTGATTGGTTAGTGTACCCCGCACTTTACCCTCTACCTATCTATATAAAAAAGTCTGCTAGTCAAGTAGTCGCTGGCATAGCTCAGTTGGAAGAGCGGGTGACTCTCGCCCCGGAGGATCCAGGTTCGAGGCCGGGCAAGGAAAATGCAGTAGATGTCATGTTAATTTTTCTTAATTTCAGGTATTTTACAGTTGTGACCGTTCAACTGTCATTAAACGTCCGAATGTTTGCTGGGCAGTGTTTTAAAAAGTGCACATAAGCTAGATGGTTTTAACCATATAAAATTACATTTTTTGTGATACTGGAAAAATACATACTGAAATAAAACTACTGATTGAAAACTTTATGACTGTGGTTGTACAATATATGACTCACTAATACACTGCAAACTCCCTTAGAGTGGGGCTTCCAGAGAGAGAGAGAGAGAGAGAGAGAGAGAGAGAGAGAGAGAGAGAGAGAGAGAGAGAGAGAGAGACAGAGAGAGAGACAGAGAGAGAAAAGTTCTTGCCTCATTAATGAATTGTTTATTTTTTTCAGTATTTAATTGACAAATTATCCTTTCAAATAATTAATTGATGAGTTACATAATTGTCCATTTAGAATTGTTGAATGGACTGAGTCAAGTTTGGTGCACTTTATATATTTCAAAACATGTTTTTTTTTTATTTTAATGATGCATATAAATAATTTAAATGTTAATTTAATGAAATATTTCTATTTTTTCATTACCTCACCCTTGTTTTGACAAAAACGGGACCTTGCTGGATAATATCATGGAGAAACTATTTGTTCACAGTACATGGCTCCGTAAGGATCTGTGTACCAAAGGAGGAGATACTCAGAAATCTGTCTGCAGATTGTTACAACCCAGACTGGAAGTGGCGGGCTGTAATAAGAAAGGAGACCAAACAGAGGAGTGGGGGTTCAACAACTGATTTATTTAACAAAAGTAAGGATTTACTAAAGCAAGTTAGTGAACAGAAAATGGCCATCTCAAGGTTTTACTCGGATGTCCCTCAGCAGGGTGCAGCACTGTTGAAGGTCATCTGAATGAAAGCTTGATATGCAGTTTCTTTATGAAAGTGTGTAAATATACAGTGTGGTTGCCGTACATATGTTGAGGTTCTCAGACATCAGGCTTCTTTGCCCAGGCCTTCACTAGTGGGCTATTTTAAAAGTTGGTAAGGAGAAAAACCACAGCATATAGCTGATTGTTTACAAATGCAAGGAGGGGAATAACAATCAAAATGCTTGTGTTCTTGGACCAGATGAATGGAGCGCTCCACATGCACTCAGAGATGTTATGGCTTCTGTTTCTATAACTTTACATGCAGACATTTGAGGTTTGCCAGAAAGGAAAGCTGGCCTGTACACTTTGCAGGGCACAATGTCATCAATGAAGAAACCCCTGTCTACCAAGATGACCATCTCTAGTTGTAGCATTTTCAACACACCAGATTCCCAGGTTGGTCGCTGATAGTTCCAGCATACAGTGCTGAGACAAAGGTCACTGGCCTATGTGGCACAATCCAAATGAGCCTCTTCAGAGTGCAGTTGAACTTGAGGAAAATATATGACTCTGGAAGAGAGGGGAATATGGCCATTGACACCTCAGATCAGTGCAGTCAAGAATTACTGGTGTTTGGGTAGTCCTGAACGTGTTGTGATGCCCCCACCATCTCATTGGGTTTTCATTTGTGTTTAATTGTGTTTTTCTTCTGTTGTAGGCAGCTGGTTAAGCAACCTTGGAGGCACCTGGGCTCAGGGTGTGGTGCTGCCTACAAAGCCTACTGTTTTTCTGCTTTCACTGGGTCTCTCCTGTGTGGTGGAGAGTCCTCACTGGCCATTTTCTGTTCACTAACTTGCTTTAGTAAATCCTTACTTTTGTTAAATAAATCAGTTGTTGAACCCCCACTCCTCTGTTTGGTCTCCTTTCTTATTACAGCCCACCACTTCCAGTCTGGGTTGTAACAATCTGCAGACAGATTTCTGAGTATCTCCTCCTTCGGTACACAGATCCTCACTGAGCCATGTACTGTGAACAAATAGTTTCTCCATGATATTATCCAGCAAGGTCCCGTTTTTGTCAAAACAAGGGTGAGGTAATGAAAAAATAGAAATATTTCATTAAATTAACATTTAAATTATTTATATGCATCATTAAAATTAAAAAAAAAACATGTTTTGAAATATATAAAGTGCACCAAACTTGACTCAGTCCATTCAACAATTCTAAATGGACAATTATGTAACCCATCAATTAATTATTTGAAAGGATAATTTGTCAATTAAATACTGAAAAAAATAAACAATTCATTAATGAGGCAAGAACTTTTCTCTCTCTGTCTCTCTCTCTCTCTCTCTCTCTCTCTCTCTCTCTCTCTCTCTCTCTCTCTCTCTCTCTCTCTGGAAGCCCCACTCTAAGGGAGTTTGCAGTGTATTAGTGAGTCATATATTGTACAACCACAGTCATAAAGTTTTCAATCAGTAGTTTTATTTCAGTATGTATTTTTCCAGTATCACAAAAAATGTAATTTTATATGGTTAAAACCATCTAGCTTATGTGCACTTTTTAAAACACTGCCCAGCAAACATTCGGACGTTTAATGACAGTTGAACGGTCACAACTGTAAAATACCTGAAATTAAGAAAAATTAACATGACATCTACTACATTTTCCTTGCCCGGCCTCGAACCTGGATCCTCCGGGGCGAGAGTCACCCGCTCTTCCAACTGAGCTATGCCAGCAACTACTTGACTAGTAGACTTTTTTATATAGATAGGTAGAGGGTAAAGTGCGGGGTACACTAACCAATCAGAGGACAGAGGAGATCTGCCACAGGCCACGCCTCCAGAGTGCCAAAACCCTTACAGCCGAGCGAGCAGGAGTCAGAAACCGAGCGCGCAGAGAGGCTGCCGAGCGCGCACAGAGGCTGCCGCGCGCGCACGTTTTCCTCTGCCGTGTGCTCGTTGACAACGCGCGCACGCAGGTTTGTCACTTGTGCACATCCTTGTGCGCTCACAGACACAGTTTGCTCCCTCTCAGTGCACAAATGACCTCTCGCCATGTATATTTCCGCTCGCGAGTCCCGTTCACACACGCGCTGCCATGTATATTTTCGCTCGCGAGTCCCGTTCACACGCGCGCTGTGGACCCAATGCGCGTGCACGGGTTTTGACAGGGGTATGACGCGATACACACCCACACACACACCCACACCCACACTGTGAATCGAATTGTCACCCCGAAAATCGGAATCAAATTGAATCGTAAATTGTTGTAATACACACCTTTACTGAAGACCAATGACAGTTCTGACCTATTGATCTTTAGCACGTGACGTCACGCTGCACATGGGACACCCCCCTTCACTATGATGGACGGCAGAGGAACCGTTTACACACGTAGAAACTCCGAAGCTAGTCCAGACAAAGCAGTTTGTAGCCTTGTATCGCTTTTATTTCATTGATTTCACAGCAAGATCGTAATAGTTGCCGTGGGACAGCAGGCGCTCAGGAAGTAGGGCGGGTTGTCTAGTAATTGGAAGGTTGCAGGTTTGATCCCGGGTCCGACCAGAGAATACTGCTGTTGTGTCCTTGGGCAAGACACTTAACCCACCTCCCATGGTGGTGGTCGGAGGGACCGGTGGCGCCTGTGCTCGGCAGCCTCGCCTCTGTCATTGAGCCCCAGGGCAGCTGTAGCTACATTGTAGCTCATCACCACCAGTGTGTGAATGACTGATTGTGTTGTGAAGTGCCTTGGGGGGTTGTAGAACCCTAAGAAGGCACTATCTAAATACAGGCTGTTTACCACAGTTGGCTGCACTAAGAGACGAGGTTGTAAACTCAACTCCTCTTTCACTGAATGACGCTGATGGAGACAGAAGACGAGGATGAGCAGCAGCTGTCCAACGGCCTAGCAGCCCTCCAAGTACTCTCAGATTTATAGCCAACATGTTTTACCGGATGAAATTAACATTCTTGAAGAAAAAAAGACTGAGGTTTGTTAATTTTATTTATTTATATTGAAAATCCTCCATTTTACTATGGAGTATGTGCAATACTGTCCACTTTTGTGAATTACAAATAAATAATGTTGTTCCAATGTAGGATTGTGTGTGTGAAAATTACGTTATTCATTTAGCATGATGAGCATCGCCGTTATGAGACATCTATGTCGTAACTTAACCTGGTGACCCGGCAGCCAGTGAACTTTTAGATTAGATTAG